TGAATATTGATTGTAAGTTTACGCATTTCTTCATACTATTGTGTTTGATAAATTAAGTTGAACTTTCACTAAACCTTATTTAACTAAATCCATGTCTTATGCACCTACCATTTCAAGGAAGGATATAGATCAAAGACGCTTGAGGAACTCATGTAAGTATGCTAAAACTTCTCTAATGTGAATCTATTCCGAAAGTCTCTCCCTGAATTTTTACTATAAAGGTTTTTTATCGAAGATTTACTTCTATATTGTCAATGTTTTGTCTTTAATACTAAAATATAAAAAAGTATCATAAAACCTTGTCTCGATTTTTAAAAAGATTTTATATATACTTATAGAAATTATAGAAATCCGACACTAGGAGGTGTGTTCGGTTAGGGCCTGTTGTAGCACAAAAGTTCAATAATGGTCGCAGTCCTCTGCTCAAGTGAGAGCTAGTACCCCGTTCATTCTTATCTTATCTTATAGAAATTATTATTGATAGAAATTATAATTAACTTTATTAATTGACTAAAAATTCTAGGAAAGTTTTCTAACAATAAATGTGTGTTTTTGCAGATCTCAAGATTATTGCTCCTTGGTTCTGTGTAGAAAGCCTGAAGAGATCTGGAGTTTTAGAGGAAATAAGTAATTTTGCATGAATATATTATTTCTTAATAATAAAAGCATTTCTTTGCAGAGCTAAAGATTGTTGTCTCTTGTTCCTGTGGAGAAGATTTGGAGTTAGTGGAGTTTAGAAAGGATTAAAGAATTTGGTACATATAATATATTTATATATATTAGATTGATTAATTCTTTAGAATATTTTTTATGAATTTCGTTATGATATCTTAAAAGTTCTAGAGTGATATATATTTAGTTTTTATATGAAGAACATATATTCCATACATGCTGACTAATTATAACAAATTATATTATAATTATATTATAATAAATTATATATAATAACAAGGGGCAAACATCTCGACTTAATAAACATAATAAATATTACACATATGTATAATTAAATTATTTTAATTAATTTACTAATCATTTTATGGTTTCATCTAACTTTTTGGTTTTTTCTATAGCAATATCACGAAGTAGTAAATCAAAAAATATTACTCAAAGGGTCTTCCTAAGTATCAATTTTATTGAAAATGGGTCAGACATTGAACTTTTTGTTTGCTATTATAATTGCTTTAATTGGCTTTTATATTTGTAAAAATTTTGACTATGTAAAATTTTTGGAGTTCATGTTTCCTACGAATGATGAAAGCAGACATCGTGAATTAACTTGGGATCAATGCTATATTTTGATGGACTTGGACATAATTTGAGTTTACTGACAATTTCATTAACCATTTTTAATAAAAAATTTATGTTTTTCAAAAAGTTGGAAGTTGGATCGAAAGATAAAGTTAATTATGTTACAATTTAAAATTTTATTTAAATATTTATTCATTGTTTTGTTTTGTTAAAATAAAGTAGAATTATGTCTAAAATTTGGTTTTAGTAATGTTTTGAAATAAAGAATGATGGAGAAATAATTATTATTGTATTTTAAACCAATTCAAATACACTTTGGTTTAAATTTTTAGATCACTCTAAAACGCCATACTATTCCAATAAGCTCTACATTATCATTGCAATTACTTAAAGATATAGTATTAAAATCAGCTCTATGCAACTACTGGTTTTATTAAGTTGAAGTAATAGTAGTATTAAACTGGCCCCAACATTATTATGATCAAGTTGAGTGTAAACTGAATGTAATATTTATCTACTTTTATTTTCCTGACAGATCTATTCTCCTGTGTCTGAAGAAATTCCACAAAGCTAATTTGCAAAAGATACCGCGTCAACTATCAGTTTTTTTTTTTGCTATACTGAACAAAGTCTCCAAAGTATATCTATACAAAGAAAAAATTACGGTTTTTTTTATGCGGAGAGGAATTTTAAAATTCCTAACGCATCGTTACTATGCCGTCACAATAATGGTATGCCCGGTTTGTGCGGACTAAAAATAATCCCTCTCGTGTACCAAACCGTTTCTATACCGGAATTTTATCGGCAATACTTTAAGGTGGGCTACCTGTGTTGGTTATCGATTAAAAATTTGAAGACATCCATGCCCAGAAAAGAATTGAGTTAAAGCTTACAGTTAAACCTAACATATCTAGTAACAGTTCACCTATAATACTTAAATTATAGTTTAGGAGATGAAGATATGTATCAAATAAGATCTATTTTGTTGTTTTTGGAGAAAATCTTTATAGCTTATCTGAACAAATAAGGACTACTGATAAACCCAACAATGTCATCTGGTTCAAGACTTCAAACTTTATTTAGTGCAGTGAAATTTGGATGTAGATTTTCAGTATTAAAAAGGTACAGCATAAACTATGTTTTCTTGCGGCTTACCCAGACAAAGTCTATGAAATTTATTTGGAGAAATTGAAGCTTCAAATAAACTTAACATTTTTAGTTCAAGATTTCAGACTTCATTCAATTCAATGAAATACAGCAGTTAGTAGCATCTAAGGATTAAGGTGGATGATCTACTGAGAAGTAGAAAGACATACCAGACTCTAAATAATATGTTTTGCTGATCAAAGCTTTTCTGGGTAGTTAAAAGCTGAAGATAAATATAACTACAGTCCTTGGTTCAAAACACCAGACAATATTTAAATTAATGAAATTGGTTTGGAAGTGCATTAGAACTTTATTAGAATTTATTAATGCTATACCTACACAAAGTCTAAAAAAATTATCTGAAAAAATTTCAGTTTCCATGAACTAAATAATACTCTTTGACCCTGGAACCTAGTCATAGTTAAATTTAATAATATGCAGATGAAGGTTAAGTAAAAGGATATATATCGTGTGACATAAGATCTATTTCGCTATTACTGGAGCAAAACTTCAGTGCTTATCCGGATAAGCTTCGAATAAACCTGAAAATATTTCTTGATTCATGACTCTAGACTTGATTGAAATTTGGGTGGAGTTTAATTAAAAAGGTATAGTGAAATCCAAGAATTGTTATATACTGGACTTTGCAGAACTTTAGAAAACTGTTAAAACTATATATTTAATTTTGAGAAAGCCTTCAAAGCTTACCGTAACCTTCTTAAGTTAAAGTTAATCGTTACAATATATTTTGTGTTTGGACTTCAGTTAATAATCGGTTCAATGAAGATGAAGATACTGAATTCATTTCTTGGTAAAATGTGAGTAGACCAGAAGTATAGTTACAGCACTCTGTGTTCAACAGAATTTGCAAGTGTCGATGTTTTTGAATCCCCAATTTAAAATGTAGTTGAGTAATACTCCACCTACCATTAGTATCTATATTGTATATAAATATATTACTATAATTAATATTTTTAATTTTAGTAAGTAATATGTATGTTCATTCTTACTATTTCTACACAAATTGATACCATTATTAGCCATAACTATTTTATATTATACATCAGTTATGTTACTATGGAACGTATTTTCAAACTGAGATTAGAGCACATTCCTGTCAATTTTCTCTATGTAATAAACTTATCTCATTAGTTACCAATTAGTTTTAAAATTTTTAATGGAAAACACTAATTTCAACTTATTTGAATGGGTAAGGGCAAGTACCTCTCTTACATCTACTAAAATTTTTTTTGCTATTAGTTCTACTGATATTCAATCCAATTTCTCTTAAAACAGAACATCACATAACAGTTGTAATTCAATTTAAAATATAAAGGCTTTTATAAGATTAAATTGTCATAGACGACATAAAAGTCTTACCTTACAGTATTCCAAAGGGTATAATTAGCGAAGAATATTCAATTAAGTTTTTTTTTTTTTAAATTACGATACATTCAACCAGTTCCCTTGCAACAATTTTCAAAAGAGAGAAAGGCACTATTCTTGGCATTTTACTTGTCTCATTAATCAGCAAGAAGAAAAGAGCATTTCTATGTTTATCAGAAGTAAAACTAATTAAGCTCGGAATTAAGGACCTTGACATAATTTGGCTCATTTGAAAAATTTTCAATGCTTTTCTTTTGTTTTTCTTGCAGTGTTGTTGCTTTTATTAAAATTTTCTGTAGACAAGAAAATGCACTAAAAAATTATACATTTTCTTTTTTTTTTTTTGTTTGCTATCAATAGAAGTGAAAAGAAGATACAAAATTACTTCAAAAGTAGAAAATTTTGAATTTATGTGAAAACTAAACGAAAGAGCAAATTGTAAGAAGGCTATACCAACAACAATAACAATAACAAAAGAACTAATTAAAAAATTAATCTAGCTTAAAGTTTCATTGAAGGAAAAACTTTTCGCTGTTATTACAAAGAAAAAAAATAAAAAAAAAATAAAAAAAAATAAAATAAAATCACTAAGGACGAAAAATTGTTCCAAAAACAATGAATATGCAAAACTTTTACACAATATTTGTTTGGATAGTGCAAGGATGCATTTTGATTACACATGAGCGACAATGAAAGCATTTTTAGTTTTAATTCTTAAACGAAGTACATTATTTTCTATAGAAAAATGCTTCATTACATTAAAGGAACTGATTTTATATAGTTAAAAGAATTTTTTTTCAAGTCCTTATCCTTTATCTTTTCTTTAGAACAAGACTTGCATCTTTGATTTAAAGCGGATATAAATATGTTATTCATAAAGTGGTAAATTTAATTTAAAGTGAAATTCATAATTCTTTTCTTCTTACTTTTATCAAAAGGACACTCGCATTTGCATTTACTCGTAGTTGGTGTTAAGGCTAAGTAACCTCAATTGAAGCTGCAGTAATATTTTCTGCACGCACACTCACCTTTTGAAAAGCGTAGTTGAAGCTGTGAGTTGTGTGAACTGTTAATTTAATTCTGCACCGAAGCAGATACGTACATTCACAAATATACGACAAAGCTTTGTAGAGGCACTAACCCACTTACATAAAGCCATACTGTACATTCAGCGCTATATGTAACACCAAACGTTTATTTTTAAATTCAGTTAAAGACAGGGACGGTTTTTAAAACAGTTCTGCAATGAGAATTGAATATATATAGATATTTACCATCATTGGAATGAAAATTTTATATAACAAATACATTTTAATGAACCTGATCTTCAAAAATCTACACTTACAAGCAATCACAGATAAACATCGCTTAATACACTATTCAAAGTTATTTAACGTGATTATCGAAGGATGAAAAAGGACCCAAGTCGTTTCGTAGTCTACTTTAGCTAATTCTTCACTTCAGTGAGGCCACTTGTGCTCACGTTGTGCTGTCCTAACACCACACAATATATATATATATTTAATGTGATTACTAGCTTTTACGGTGCCTTATAAGGATAATATACATATCAGTATAATGCCCTGATAAATGCCTGTATTAGAATTCTAAGGAATTGCTACCAGCCACACATTTGGATATAGTTTCTTTTTTGGAAAGGGAGCAAGACCTAACACCTTTGTTGTTCTTTGAGGCATAGCACCTCTTTGAAAAATGCAACTCTACATAGAATGAAGGTAACTAATACAGTCATTAGTGGTTTAGACACTAACTTGCGTTTTATCAAGCAAAGAAGAAAGCATAAGTTATTTTAACCGCTTAACTTTTTATTTCAAGCACATTCATCTCCATTAGCTAGCCTTTACAAGAAATGACATCCTGTACGTGTAGGCACTGATCCCTACGGTATCAAAGTTTCATCTACGATCAGATGCCCCAAGTGAAATTCACTCACAACTAATTATAGTCTAAGAGTATTGTGAGGTACCCATTGGACTTGAGTTGACTTTTAGCACAGGAACCTTATCTCGAAAATATTTTAATATTTATTACAAACTGGGAATCATAAGATACAATTGAAAGAATAATGAAAGTGGAGAGTAAAAAGAATTTAATATATTTTTGCTACAATGTTTTCTATTTCCTAACAGTGTAAAGTGTCAATTGATATGATATAAGCCCGATTTTATAAGTTCCTCTTTGAATGAATAATCTTCAAAATAATTGCACTTCTGCTAAAATAATTTCAAGATCTCTTACTAAGTTACCAGTTAATTCAATGTTACACCTTTAGTTTGCTAAGATGAAAAGGCGGCACTTTTCAATGTAAGAAGAAGTCTTAGTCTTAGCTGGTTTAGTTTTGAATTAGGATGTTTCTCTGTTTTTGGTACTTTGTCCTTTATATATATTATAAGAAAACCTATAGGTCTTTGTGAAAAATCGTATATCTAATATATTTACTATTCTTCTACTCTATTGCTTGATCAAACGCGAATTAGTGTCAAAAGCATGTTTAATCAATAGTATCTGTGGCCATTTAGAGATCCACTTTAGTAATGACTTCTTTAAATTCTGATTATAAGTTATTCAGATGATTTTAT